TCAGGTGACTCCCAAGTCCAACGAAGGTGAGGGGGCTTTTGGAACTGTGAGTTACCATGGATGGTGTTGGTCGACATGATAAACTCCGACAGTCTCTCACCCTGCTCATTCCATTCCATTCCGTGAGTACCGATGTGAAGTTCTTCAGCCGTTCTTCTTGGGCCAATCTTAGCGTTGAAGTCGCCGACGATGACCTTGAAGAAGGTATGATCTTCCCTGTAGAACTTCTCCAATTCCATATAGAATGCTTCGTGTTCTTCTTCGTCGTAGCTGGATGTTGGTGCGTAGGCGACGAAGATTGTCAAAGCAGGAGTTGAACCACATCTTCTCAATCTCAAACGTCCGATTCGGGTCGTAAGGCTTTCGTACGAATCGATGTTTATGGCCAAGTGCGTGTTGACGAGGACACCCACACCGCCAACGCCTCTGCTGTCGCATGTTCCAAGGAACAGTTCTTCTCCAGTATCGAAAACGGCGTGTAGCGGGCGGTGCCTTCTCGTCTCGGTCAGTCCGATGACGTCGTACTTGATCTTCCTGGCCTGCATCATCAGATCTTCGATGTGAGCTTCGGATGCAAGCGTTCGTGCGTTGAAAGTACAGATCGCCATCTTAGTCCTTCTTCGTTTAGGCAGCCTATCCGGGCCCTGAGATTCTAGCAGCCTCTCCCGAGCGGTCCTACCCAACGCTGCCGTATTGGGGGCTCCCTCAGGTTCAGGGGAATGAGGCCCATCCATATTGCTGTTTTCGGCATATTGAAGGCACACGAGTAGCTTGCCAGGCTCTGTCGTGCGGGCTAGGATAGACCTCCAGGTAGTTAGCCACGCTATCCTGGAGCGGAACAAGGGGCTTATTTTTGGAGGCGGCCCCGAATCGCCTCCCATGTACTTCCCAGTCACTTGAATGCAAGCTTTTGGCTGTGCCGACATGCAGGATACCAACCGCACACACACAGAGCGCACCACACACGCAAGCATGCATGGATGCCTGAGTGGAGACAGCTGGTATGAATCAACACAGCACTACAGAAACAGGGAGTCCATCCCCTGAATCCACCTGCGTCTCAGGGCAAGTACATGGTGGCTTTTGGTCCGCGATTTACCCCCTATCCGCCACCTGGGGTCGCGCCACGTAGCCTCGCCACCAACCGGCTCGAGATCTTTCAGTGAGAGAGGACCCTCAGTGAAAGAGATCCGTGGGCCCCAATAATTTAGGACGAAATCACTTTGGCTCACACTCTAGGTGACACACAGTTATGTATCCGAGACGTCGATCAGAAAAAGCTCCAATATGCAGGTACACAGTTGAACACGCTTTATGTGATGAAGAAATACTGGGGAAATCAGCGGGTAGCGTGATGAAAGATTGAGTAGGAGACTGTAAGCTGGAAACCTCAACTGTGCCCGTCTGTTCATCATGCTGATTCAAAATGTCGGATTAGGAACGTAGCAGACCGAGGCTTTTTCCATACGGAGCTCAAAATAAGTTGTATCTACAACTTCCTTTTGTATCGGATCACTTTAGTGCAGTTATACAAGAGTGCCTGCGAAGAGCCGACCTGGCAATCGATGGTTATCTATTGCCAATGTTAGTACACCTAATGAGAACAACTTATTAAAACACAATTGGTCATAGAAATCGTCTCTACGACCGGAATTGTATCATGGATAACTGCGTGATCTGCCCGTATGGAAAGGTAGGAGACTGCGCGCAAAGATCTGTGGTTTACCAGCTCCAGTGTTCAACATGTAACGCCTTGTACATCGGAGAAACTGGGAGACAGTTGGGTGTACGTATAAAAGAACATCTGGCTAGTAAACGAAGGGAAAGTTTGGTCGCACCACTTGGAAAACATAGAAGGGAAAGTCATTCTGGTTGTGACTTTGACGTTAAATGCACGATTCTGGCGTACGAAAGTGATATCGGTGCTAGGAAAACCCTCTCGAGGCCTTCTGGATAAAGCGCCGTAATCCGAGTATGAATAACAGAAATGAGTGCATTTCCATAACTGATGATTTCTTGCCATACATTCCACTTTGTGAGCTCTGATTGGAGAAACGCAACGTACTGCACGTACGCATTTAACAAGCAGTATACAACCGGTCAGTCTCACTTTCTCCATTATTTCGCGAAGCTGAGCGGCCCTTCCTGGTGGAATTAACGTGAGTTAACCGTTGTTCGTAATCCTGCTGTATTGTAGTCGCATGGGGGATTGTAACGTTCAGTAGAGAAGGTTAGCTGTGAGCGCGGGATGGCAACATTGCAAGACGTTTCGATATGCTTTCAGGCCTTTGAGAACGACGAAATTGTCGAAACGTCAGGCATAATAAAAATTCCATCATAAAAAACCTGTATGGCACAACAATAACAAGAACACTTATGAAGAATGCCAAGGTTTCAAGAAAGACGGACATGGGGACATATCTAACTTGAGTCTACAGATCCCACAGTTTCTCTCTGCAGTTATCCTTCCTATCTATAATAGTCTGTTCTTAATCCCTGAGGAAAATAACGGTTTGGCTCTTTGCCGACATGTTGCAGGACTCACTACAGGAGAAGCTACGCCTTTCGCGTGGAGTATCCATTGACTACAGTCTTCACGAACGAACGATCTCTACATTACCACTCAGCTTAATAAAGCAAATGAGAGTTTTGGAAGTGTAAATGTACTAACAAAAGACATATGCATATTAATGCACACACACTTACATATTGTTCTACTTTGGTGAACTCTCAATTTTCTTACGTCGATTCTCTTGCAGGTAAGCTAATCCTTAGAGCGAAAAAATGTGGCAGGAACCGACGGTTTCTGAGCAGATAAAACTATGGAAAAATTGTACATAAATCTGCCACAATTCACAATTCAGCTAGCTAATACCTTCAATAATTGTTGCGATGAGTTTTCAATTGGCTTTTGCGAAATCGAGTTTACATTGCAGGTGGTTCTGTGGTGGACTAAGTATGTATATGATTGACCTCAACGGAGAAGATATGACGAAGAACTTTTGGCTAGGACAGTACATGTCAGCGGCACTGGCATCCATCATTCGAGTTGTCAGTTGGATTAGTTCTTGAACTTCTGCTATAATGGTAACGCTTTTGCAGTAAGCAGTAACTCGGAATTATTATATTCCTAAAACATTAGAGTATGAGAAAATATCAAACTCATCCCTAACAGAGCTGTGCTGCCCCATGCACAGCAGGTGATACGCGGTGGGATAAGATAATTCGTAAACGAGTCATTTGAAATGTTCTTTCGATAAGGACTATTGGGCTCCTACATCTCACTTACCCTGTTCACATCCGATCGAAATATGTTGCACGTGATCATCATCCACTCTGGATCTCCTCCACCCTTTAGCTTAGGAGAAGGTCTTCTGGTTCAAGACTGTTTCCTGGAAGGGTGGCCAAAAAAAGAGACACTTTGCCCATGGCGCACATCATCGAACTTTTCGTCGCACAGGAGCCGATGTTAATGAAAGTTTTACGGATGTTCCCCGTAAACAGAAGCAGGCCCTCCTTCACTGCCCCCACCGTCTTCAGAATATGACGTCATCTGCCGTCACCGTCGAGCTCAACGAGGCTTACCGTAATCGCTCCGGCCTGAAGCTGCTACATAATTTCTTCAATCGATTAACTGGTGAATAGCTTCCAGAGACACTAGCTGTGACTATGCAAGACCGCTTTTGACCAGCGTTTCAGGGACGTCGTAATGGTCTATGGTACCTCGACGACCTCGTTGAGCTCGTACCGTGAACCATGTTTCCGTGGGAAAATCTTCTGATGTCGTCGGTGTAGAAGGCTGTCATGTAATTTTAGATAGATTAGAATGTGCTCTTTAATAAAGTTGGGGCAGTCGATTTGATTCTAGCAAAGTGTGATTAATGCTGTCTGAAATGTGGAGTGAAGTGTCTCTTTTTTGGCCACCCCTGTGCACTTCGAAGAAGTCGAATACGTGTCATGAGCATTCTTACAGTTTTCTTTAATATGAGGGAGAGCATGGTGCCTCGTTCTTCCCCCACCTCCTCCCTTTAAACTCCACTTTCACCTGTTGAAAAGAATGTGAAAGTATCGAATCATCGCAAAAGATCAACGGCCAATCTTCTCTTTTCAGATATTTGGCTTTGCGGACGCCTATTTTCCCAGGCTTGGACGTCGTACTGTGTACATAATATCTATGTCTATATGTATATTTGCGTCCATAGGACTTATGGTTCAACTATACGCAGGCGGAAAGGTTTTTTTCCACCACTTAAATGATAACTGTCCTCGTTACAGGTCTCCATTGAAACGCATAAATGTGATTTCAAAGTGTATCGTTAAATTCCACCGCAGGGTGTACTGATGTGCCAGTAGGAGCACGCCCTTTCTTCCACGATGCCCACATAAGCTTGTCAGGAATGAGCTTTTTAAAGCGAGTATTGCTGGATGGTTGGGTCATTCCAAAGTTTGATCTGAAAAGGTATGTGGGCCAGGAAATCCTTGTAGGAGCATGAAGATTTCCGGCTGCCACACTTGACCTACCGTAGTCTTCCTCGTCAAGTCAACTGGTCATAAACAGTATACTTTCAATATTGTTTATTTGTCGCGAATTCAAAAAAAAAACATTGCAACTAGGTGACTGCTCTCTTTTGCTTGGAATCCCAATGATTTTGGGTACAAATCTCAGTTTTCGGCGGGGAGGGAGAAAAGGAGAAAAAAAGGAGAGCAGTAATCGTGAACGGGTTCTCAGCATAAATCTCCCGGAAGGCACCGCAACAAAGACGTGAATTGTTTTAGTTTTCCCATCATACTGGGGTGCTAGACCTAACGACGTGCATTATCGAAATAGCATGGTGAAGACATGGGCAATCACCAACTTGTTAACGATTTAATTCGAAATTTGTGACTTTAAGGGAACCATGCTCTATTTTATCACATATTTGACCGCCTACAATTCAATATCACTGACATGGGAACCAAATTTTCTGGGAGCTGCTGAGTTGATGCCGACGGATGTACGTGCGAAAACGACGGCACTACTCAACATCATCTCCCGTCTTGCCAACGTACTGGCTTCTCAAATGGTATGTACTTCTTAACCTTTTTGCCGAGCATTTGTTGCTGGTTATCCAGCGCGACATAGAGAAAAAATTAATTGAGAAATTGCACGTCAACCCGGTCGTGCGTCCTTATGTGTTCGGAAATGAGAAAGAATCGTTATGCTCACTTCTCGACACCACTCGGAGGTCGTCCTCTATCTTTACCTGCTCAAGCCTACTGAAGAATATCTATTGTTTCAAAGTTTTCGTCACCTCTATTCATGTTCGCGCTAAAATGATCTTCGCGACCTTAAAAATGACCAATCGGCATTCTATGCAATCGAATGAGCACACGACACGAGAGAAGATGAAGAAAGCTTCGTGTATGGATGCGCAGTGCAAGCTGGTATGGTCGCATTCTCTACTCAGTAACAGGATCACAACATGGGACGTTGAACGCGGGCAAACTCTGTTGCACTCTTCATCTCAGACAACCTCGACTGACGAAGAAGCTTATCCTTAGCCATTCGGCTGTTCTTGGTTGCTACCGGAGAGACCTTCGTGACACGCATTCGGAGAGAGATTCAGGAACAGATTCATTGTAGTCTGGGATGAATTTAAAAGAAAGGGAAATTGGAGGTCGGCCTGCCATCATATCAGATAGACAATTAGGAATTGAGGTGCTTGGATCCCGGCTATAATTTCTTCCGAGATGTAAGTTTCGCAAAACACCCGCTCCGGAGCAAGTACAACTGGATGTCCATAACCATATTCCATTTGGGAAAGTGTTAAGCGCAACGGTTTTGCGTGATAGATTGTCTAGTGTTTTTCCCAGATCACTAGTTATCGAAAACGTAGGAAGAACGTGGCTCACTGCCTCGGCGTCACAAAATGAAGAATGATACAACAATTGACCTAATACGTGGTGAAATTGGCTAGTCGGGAACTGTTCGATGAGACAGGTCTTACCATTACCATCAGGAGATCGGCTCAAAGCAAGACTACAAATTTTTGTTCCTAAGGGTATTTCTGTCGTTTGGAAAATATCCACACACTTTATGGAGAAAAGTTTTCCATCAATTCAAAAAATATGAGAAATTGAATGGCGGCAGTCTCATAGTGTAGAAGGCACAGTTTCTCATAGAAGGAGAAATGTCAGGGTGTCCACATATTTTTGGTACGCACTGTAGGTTTGGAGGATGGTTTATAGGTATACCAGGTTTGCTCCGCCCGCTATCGCGCGCATCACAGGGTAGGGAGGAACCACGGAATAGCAGCATGACGTACTCCATTAACCACCTCACTATTGAATGTGTTATACCTCCTTATACCCCTTCTCTCCGGCGCATGGCAGCGCCATGTTCTCCTCCCTTTCTCCTCTCCCCCTTCCCTCCCTCTTTCTCCCTCCCTTCCAGCCTCCCCTTTCTTGCCCCTTCCCTCTACCCCCTCTCCCCTTCCCTCCTCCCCCCCTCATCCCGGCTGCCACGGCAGCA